TTCGTGACTAAACAAGGGCTTAAGGTTCTTTTAGTACTGACACTTTCGGTGTGTACCCGTGACTAAACAAGGGCTTGAGGTTCCTTTAGTACTGACACTTTCGGTGTGTACCCGTGACTAAACAAGGGCTTGAGGTTCCTTTAGTACTGACACTTTCGGTGTGTACCCGTGACTAAACAAGGGCTTGAGGTTCCTTTAGTACTGACACTTTCGGTGTGTACCCGTGACTAAACAAGGGCTTGAGGTTCCTTTAGTACTGACACTTTCGGTGTGTACCCGTGACTAAACAAGGGCTTGAGGTTCCTTTAGTACTGACACTTTCGGTGTGTACCCGTGACTAAACAAGGGCTTGAGGTTCCTTTAGTACTGACACTTTCGGTGTGTACCCGTGACTAAACAAGGGCTTGAGGTTCCTTTAGTACTGACACTTTCGGTGTGTACCCGTGACTAAACAAGGGCTTGAGGTTCCTTTAGTACTGACACTTTCGGTGTGTACCCGTGACTAAACAAGGGCTTGAGGTTCCTTTAGTACTGACACTTTCGGTGTGTACCCGTGACTAAACAAGGGCTTGAGGTTCCTTTAGTACTGACACTTTCGGTGTGTACCCGTGACTAAACAAGGGCTTGAGGTTCCTTTAGTACTGACACTTTCGGTGTGTACCCGTGACTAAACAAGGGCTTGAGGTTCCTTTAGTACTGACACTTTCGGTGTGTACCCGTGACTAAACAAGGGCTTGAGGTTCCTTTAGTACTGACACTTTCGGTGTGTACCCGTGACTAAACAAGGGCTTGAGGTTCCTTTAGTACTGACACTTTCGGTGTGTACCCGTGACTAAACAAGGGCTTGAGGTTCCTTTAGTACTGACACTTTCGGTGTGTACCCGTGACTAAACAAGGGCTTGAGGTTCCTTTAGTACTGACACTTTCGGTGTGTACCCGTGACTAAACAAGGGCTTGAGGTTCCTTTAGTACTGACACTTTCGGTGTGTACCCGTGACTAAACAAGGGCTTGAGGTTCCTTTAGTACTGACACTTTCGGTGTGTACCCGTGACTAAACAAGGGCTTGAGGTTCCTTTAGTACTGACACTTTCGGTGTGTACCCGTGACTAAACAAGGGCTTGAGGTTCCTTTAGTACTGACACTTTCGGTGTGTACCCGTGACTAAACAAGGGCTTGAGGTTCCTTTAGTACTGACACTTTCGGTGTGTACCCGTGACTAAACAAGGGCTTGAGGTTCCTTTAGTACTGACACTTTCGGTGTGTACCCGTGACTAAACAAGGGCTTGAGGTTCCTTTAGTACTGACACTTTCGGTGTGTATTCGTGACTAAACAAGGGCTTAAGGTTCTTTTAGTACTGACACTTTCGGTGTGTACCCGTGACTAAACAAGGGCTTGAGGTTCCTTTAGTACTGACACTTTCGGTGTGTACCCGTGACTAAACAAGGGCTTGAGGTTCCTTTAGTACTGACACTTTCGGTGTGTACCCGTGACTAAACAAGGGCTTGAGGTTCCTTTAGTACTGACACTTTCGGTGTGTACCCGTGACTAAACAAGGGCTTGAGGTTCCTTTAGTACTGACACTTTCGGTGTGTACCCGTGACTAAACAAGGGCTTGAGGTTCCTTTAGTACTGACACTTTTGTGTGTACCCGTGACTTAACAAGGGCTTGAGGTTCTTTTAGTACTGACACTTCTGGCGTGTACCCGTGACTTAACAAGAGCTTGAAGTTCCTTTAGTACCGACACTTTCGGTGTGTACCCGTGACTTAAAAAGGGCTTAAGTTTCTTTTAATACTGACACTTCCGGTGTGTACCCGTGACTAAACAAGGGCTTGAGGTTCTTTTAGTACTGACACTTTCGGTGTGTACCTGTGACTAAACAAGGACTTAAGGTTCTTTTAGTACTGACACTTCCGGTCTGTACCCGTGACTTAACAAGGGCTTGAGGTTCTTTTAGTACTGACACTTTCGGTGAGTACCCGTGACTAAACAAGGGCTTGAGGTTCTTGTAGTACTGACACTTCCGGTGTGTACCCGTGACTTAACAAGGTTTAGTACTGACACTTCTGTTGTGTACCTGTGACGAAAGAAGGGCTTAAGGTTCCTTTAGTACTGACCCTTTCGGTGAGTACCCGTGACTAAACAAGGTCTTGAGGTTCCTTTAGTACTGACACTTTCGGTGTGTACCCGTGACTAAACAAGGGCTTGATGTTCCTTTAGTACTGACACTTCTGGTGTGTACCCGTGACTAAACAAGGGCTTGAGGTTCTTTTAGTACTGACACTTTCGGTGTGTACCCGTGACCTAACAAGGGCTTGAGGTTCCTTTAGTACTGACACTTCTGGTGTGTACCCGTGACTAAACAAGGGCTTGAGGTTCTTTTAGTACTGACACTTTCGGTGTGTACCCGTGACCTAACAAGGGCTTGAGGTTCCTTTAGTACTGACACTTCCGGCGTGTACCCATTACTAAACAAGGGCTTGAGGTTCCTTTAGTACTGACACTTTCGCTGCGTACCCGTGACTTAACAAGAGCTTGAGGTTCTTTTAGTTCTAACACTTCCGGTGTGTACCCATTACTAAACAAGGGCTTGAGGGTCCTTTAGTACTGACACTTCCGGCGTGTACCCATTACTAAACAATGGCTTGAGGTTCCTTTAGTACTGACCCTTCCGGCGTGTACCCATTACTAAACAAGGGCTTGAGGTTCTTTTAGTTCTAACACTTCCGGTGTGTACCCATTACTAAACAAGGGCTTGAGGACTTTTGTGTGTACCCGTGACTTAACAAGTGCTTGATGTTCTTTTAGTTCTGACACTTCCGGTGTGTACCCGTGACTAAACAAGGGCTTAAGGTTCTTTTAGTACTGATAGGTCAATACGTCGTAACATTGTGATGTTTAAGAACTTGTTTTGTGTTATGCGCGACCTAAATTTGTGCAATGTGTGAGACTTTATTTGAAGTCCTGTGAGACCTTTTGTTATGTCATGTAAGACTTTCTTTAGTGCTATCCTAAACTATATTTTGTGTTATCTAAGACCTTATTTTGTAATATATGGCACATTTATTTTGCTATCCGAGACATTTTTTGTGTAATCCAACACTTTATTTTGTGTTACGTTACACTTATTTTGTGTTACAGGTATGTGATACTTATTTTGTGTAACTTAAGACCTTATTTTTGGCTATGTAAAACTTTATTTTGTGTATTAGGGGAGACATTTTTTGTGTTATTCCAGCCATTATTTTGTTTTATACGAGTCCCTATTTCGTGTTATTTGGGACTTTATTATGCCCCCCGATGTTTTTCGCATTCTGGGACTTTACCTGAGCGAGTATTACGCTAATTTTATTTGCGTTATTGGAAATTAATATTATACTCACATTTAAATGTGAAATTGCCATTATAAAAATAAAAAATAAATTACTGGCATATTTAGCACTTTGGATAACATTGCCAGATTGTTGAAGGCAAGCATCGTCATTTTGACGTCACAACCAGTACGTTAAAATCACTGGCATCTTAATAACAGATTTTATGTAATATTTATAGAAAACTAATGCTCCATTCATCGTCTCTATTTTACTCCCAAAAACAAACCGCACAAACAAAATTAAATTCACATTATTCGCGTTCAGTTTGTAATATTCCTGTTTTGTCTTTGGCCTTCGTTCATGTTTCCTGTGTCTTTTTGTTGAAGTAATTTATGTATGTCTAGATCAATCTGGCTCTCGAGTTCTTGTCGAGCTTCTCGACCTACGGTACGGACCACATCCGTTTTAAATTAGTGTATAGGTAATGTCACCGTCAAAGTAATGTTTGATAGGCATATGATGGTAACTAAACCTAAGGAAATTCTTTGTATTTGTTATCCGAAATATTGTAAATCGTAAAGTGTTCAAACCTATGAGAACTAGTGACTTCCCACCAGAACCTGCGGCTCGATACTTCCTCGAGCTTTAGTGTTCAAAGAACCACTCCACTTGTTTTCCTCGTGTAAATCTATCATTGTTATAGATATCATCAGTCATATCACAACGTGTGCCCCCCGCATTGTTGATAATAACACGCGTTATGTCTTCTTACTAAAAGCCTGATAAACATCAAACGTTATCCGGTAACCGGAAGCTCCGTTTCCAAACCCGTATTGATGCTGTCGAGAACTATGACTGTGATTGCTGGCGCATGATACCGACTCTACATTGAGCGGAATTATGGATCTCCATGCTGTCAAAGTGCTATTTATCCAACTTCCCCCACGACAAGTGTGAAGTCGTACTAGCTGACAGAGCTTTTAACAATATTACATTTATCTGTATAAAGGACTTGGTACAATGTTGGTAATATTAATTATACCCTATCGACATCTTCTAGAGACGAGATAGTGCCCACTAATATAAATATGAAATCGAAATGATTTATTACGAGAAAAATGTAAAAAGGATGTTACAGTGTGTTTGATTGGTTTAAACACGTCGCGTGCCCGGAACACATATTAAGTATCCCTCACGTGCACGTGCCCAAGTTTCCCTCGTGCCATCCATTTGCTTTTTGGAGGATCCCTCTCGGAGCCTCTTTGGTAGAGTTTATAACGCCCGATGTGTCCCGGACACAGAATATAATATTTGCGTCACTGTTACTCTTCGGTAAAAATACCATATTTTCAGCTGTTTTCGAAGGGAATCATGATTACATTGTATTTTTCCCCCTCTATCAATCATGTTTCTCTCGGGATTCGTCCTCGTAAGAAAGTAATTAATCTAAAGAAAAAACTTTTCGTTACTGAAAAGACGATAAATGTAGTGTAGTATTCGCTACTAATTTAATAAAATGTTGTACAAATCGAAGAGACATTATCAGGTGCCCAGTTACAGGCTCTACAATAAAATGAAGCAGGCTAGGACTGGTGTACCTTTGGAGAATCTCTCCTCGGGATTCGACCCTGAGTACATGTTATACAGTGAAGTATATACAGATAACACAATCCCGGCGTGTGACAAGGAGGTTTTTTATTTAGTTTCGTACAAACATGACAAGGGGATCACTGACCACTCTACATTGTGGCATTGACCTCACATACAAAGGTCACGTGGTCTTACGTAAGACAAATAGTTTCCACCATCTTGCTTACATAATGTCAACATTACATGATGACTTCAGATTTCTTTGAAATTTGACTTCCGTCGTGTCACCGGGAATTTACACTTTTCAATGATTTATTCAAATATCTCGGGATACAAAAACATGTCAATAGCTATTACAAAGAAAGGCTACGTTTCAGACATAATATACAAAGATATGGAAATCTAGTATCAGGACCTTGGCCTATTTTCCATGAAACCGTTCTCACGCTCAAACTTAGATTCCGTGCTTAGCTAAATCCCTCATACCGATGACGAATTATTCAAATTTCCAATTTAATAAAATTTTGAGGAACTTCGGTGAGACTTGAAGCCGTCTACCGTTTGCAATGTCGAGACTTTTCTTTATTATTTAGTAACATGATTTCAGATAGTAACAAGAAAATTGGTCTCGAGAAAGAATCCATGTTTGCGCATGAGATCGTTTCATAATGAAGAGTCCTGGGCCCGTATTCATGAAACCGTTAGCATGCCCAAGCATGGATATTGTGCTCAAGCCTAATTTCTTGGTCCGGTTTGTTAATGATTTGGGGAAAAATTGAAGAGACTTAAAGCCAAATACTGTTTTCAATGTTTACATTTGACTTTTTGATCGCTTGACATGATTTAAGTGAGTAACAAGAAAACTGGTTTCAGCACAGAATCCATGCTTGAGAATGAGAAGGTTTCATTAGTACGGGCTCAGGTACCAATTAAAGACCGAAATACGGAGTAATTTTCAAAAACTACACTTATTTAATCCATTTGGGCGTCCGATTTTCGGAGAGATAAACAAACTGACGAATAACAATCTGATACGATAGGGTTGATATAACACTTCATTTCTCACTTCCGATAACCGGTCCGCTTTGTGGCATGTCGTCTTTTGGTTACCTATTTATCACGTGGCTTGCTGACGAATACAAACAGGTGAAAAGTGAGAGAAAAAAAACGTGTTCCTCGTACATTGTTTTTATTAAAACTAAAATAGTTTTATCTAATTAATGAGGGGACTTAATTGTGCTATGTAATTAATGATATTGTGGAACATATTTTGGTAGCTTTCGTATAAAATTTGCATTGAAAGAGGCAAACATAAATACTACGAAAGAACGCTTGTAGTTAATTTTATAATGATTCATTATGAACTACAAATTATATCTTAGTACTGTAAAAGGAGACATTTTAGTGCTGTTGAAATGCTCGCATTTTTGCGCGTCGACTAAATTAGCTCAGAAACTTTGCCAATGCGAAATTTCCACACAGCGATCAGTTAAATAGGTCACATCGCGTTCATTTCAACACATGATCAGTTAAAAAAGTCACACCGCGTATATTTCCACACATGATCAGTTGAAAAGGTCACAACGGTATATTTACACACATGATCAGTTAAAAAGGTCACACCGCGTATATTTCCACACACGAAAATTTCGACTTTTACAGTATCTATAATTGAACATCTCGTAAACATAACTTAATACCATTACCTCTTTATGTAGGTTACAAACGGTAATCATAAATCAAATATCAACAGTAAAGTCGTAAGAGGATAACATAACTAACATTTCAGACAATAGAAATTGATTTCTTAAATGATTCTTTTCAACTGCTATGAACGTGATAAATATACAATCTAGACTTTAGCTACAGAACACAAAACAAAAATTAACAAAAATAACGCATCACTGTGTCAACAAACAAACCATTGTCATAACAATTCGATTAATTACTACGTCAAGGCACTATCTAGGTCAACATAAAGGTGTTCACGCATGCGCTCTCTCAAACCATTCTTGTGATATCTATTATGAATGGAGTAAGAAAATCAAAATTACGTCACACTGACGTTATACAATACTACATAAACTAGCCCCCCTCCACGAACAGGAATGTCTAAGTTTATTGCCATTGAGAAACTAGTCGTTCCCACAATTCCTCAGTGTTCTATTTGTAAACAGTTAAACATGATGTTATATCACAGACACCACTCGTTAACCCTCGCATTTCATCGTATTTGAAAACAGACAAAACGTCAATACTCCTGATACCACTTTGAATTCTATTTGATTACACTCTTTCAAACACTTTCAAAAATATTTTAAAACACTTCCGGTTACAAAAATTATAGGAACATTACTAGAAGTTTAACTTTATATTACTTGTAGTCTAACTTCTCAGTACCATAATTATAGATTATCACACTGCGTTTTCCCATTGCGAGCACGTGTGAGTGTGTACCTACCGTGGCCTCCCGATCATCCACGCGCGAGCGAGGACAAAATTGTTCGAACGATAAACCCAGAAAAACTTTGTGATATTAATAGATTACCATTTAAATACCACTACCTTATATATTTCTCTACTTATAACAAATGTAAACTAAAAACATCTTCCAACTTGATTTAGGCTCCGTGATCATCGAGCTCCTTGGTCTGTGACAAACGTAGAAAACCTACACGGAGGAATCCTTTAAATTAAAACTATATAGAAATATATTTTTTAAACAATTTTATCAATTATGCTTAAAAGGATGGTGCTGTTATACTCATGTTTTTGTGGGTACTATTTCTGGTTCAGGATGTGAAATGGCGTGAGCAGACGTCTTTTTCTTGAAATGATACATTCCAAAACGGAAAACCATTCTCAAGTTGTTCTCAACTCCTTTTTGAATATGAATATTCTCACACTGACAACACATGATACTGAACTTATCATACTACCGGTAGGCGGTATTATATAGTATATTGATGATGGTCTAATCTCTTATTCTTATAGTCCAATGTTTTCATTACTAGCAGTCAAACTTCACATAGTAGTCTTAAATCTTATTACAAATACTCTTACTTCCCAGTGCTACCAACCTAAAGTCTTACTACAAATAGTATAACTACACTGCACTGATAATTTGAAATCTTATTATTAGTTGTTTAAATTTATATTACTGATCTAAATTATCATTGCTTTTTGTTTCAATTTCCATTACTAGTCTAATTTTCTCATTACAAATACTTTTTGTATAAATTTTCATTACTAGTGGTCTGAACTCGCTATTGGTAGCCTAAAATCGTGTCACTTACAGTCAAACTTCTCAATACAAGTAGCGTGAAGTCTTTTTACTAGAAGTCTAAACTCCTACTACAATTAGTCTCACTTCCCATTACCAGTGGTCTATATTCTTATCATCGAGTCCTATCGGTTAAGTTTGGGGTAACGCTGGATACAGCCGATAATTTGACTTATTTGAATTGATTACTTATTATTTTACCTATAATTTGATACAAACAGTACACACCTACGTTTGATCTCAGTAGATATACATACTATGGCAATATAACACATAAGTCTAGTTCCTGGAGGTATGGAGACTAGCGGTGTCAGTTTTCGAATTCTCGTGATCCCATTGGAAAAAGAACGTCACGTGATAAACTACTATAACTACTTTAATCTTGGTCATGCTATATTGAAATATTTGTGACAAATATAACAATTCGCTTCATGTAATAAAACAGTGTATATGTTAATTCAATTATCGCAACAGTTGTGATTATGTCCCTTAACTTCATTCACTCTTTGTTTTCAGCTTCCCCGTGTTACCATTGTGCTAATGTACTGAACATTGTCATGACTAATACAATTTATACTTCAGACGGACGAATAGACGGACGGATAAAATTCTGTATCGCTAAGTAGACCATCAGTTACTCGGGCCAAAGAAATGAATAATAAACCCTACATTGATAAAATAAAATATAATCAGATGACGTTAAGTGACGGTGTGCAGACGACTGGTCTCTTAGGACGAGTGTACAAAAAGATCACCAAAAGAGCAACATTCGTTTAACAGAAAAAATCAAATCACATTTCCATGGTAACCGACGTTATAACAAAAATAGACGTTCATCCAATCAACATCAGGCTTTTGTCGTTGTCTCCTAGAGTTACCTGCTATCACCGGTTCTCTCAATGTCCCGTGGATCACGGTAATTTTCACCGGTTACCACCTACTACATGTACCACTGTGACGTATAACACAAGTTGCCCTGGTAATATAAAATACTTAGGTACCATGCGTGTTTATGACAACTATATTTTGTACCAGTCAGCTTGTGTCTAAATGAGAGTGTCACGTTCCATTTGAACTACTACGTCAACACTTTCACGACTTTGGTCAACACAGCACGTGCAAATACACGTACACATAAATGGTCATCTCCTATTGGAATTATTACGATCCCTGGCTAGTCACGAGGCGTCTGTGACAATCGTCCGTGTAAAAGATTGATTGTTTAAGCTGATCTTTTCAAAATGTTTCAGCCGTGATGTCCTTTTCAGATACATATCTATAAACCTCTGTCTGAACTGCTGACTCATGATACAGTATAACACAAAATTAATCGCATTGTTAACAAGCGCAATGAAGTCCATCAAGTCGCCGAGAGGCATGTACACGTTATGGTAGAACCCGGAAACTAAAGCACTTGCAAGAATAAGAATTCCTTGTGGAAATTCAGTCACCAAGAATAGAATCATCACAACTAACAACATACGGGTAGTTTTAGACTGACGCACTTCCCGTTTACAGTTGGAGTTGGTGGACGAAAGTCTCCGCCTTCGCTTCTTGCCTTTAATGCCAACACTGTAGAGTAAGGAACCACCGAATATAACCATGAGTGCACAGGGAACGAGCTTGGCCAATATCGCGTAAGATATGACGTTGGCGAACGCAATCGGTTCTGTCTCGTTGGTGGCGAGTTTAAGGTCACGGAGTCCATAGAGACTAGTGTTACCAATGTCAACACGCTCAATTTTGTTGGTGAGGTAGTTAGGAACCATGGCTAAGGTAGACGCGACGTACACCACCAAAGTCACGGCCTTCACCTGTTGTATGCTACGTTGTTTGGCCTGAGGACCCCTCACGGGGGTACGCATCTGCATGAACCGGAAGACAGAAAGCGAAACTCCGAGCCAGATAGAGATGGTGTGTGTGGTGGCCGCCAGGTTTACCGAGATTAACATAAAGGTGGCCCAACCTTCAGTGTACTTTTCGGGCGAAACCTCGGCCGGGTCATGGATACAGTAAAAGTGGATTGCGAAAGGCATGTAGGGCATCATTGTGAGGATGTCGGAGAACGCCAGTCCGCACAGGAACAGGTTTGTAGCAGTGCGCATGTCTCGTCGTGAAAGAATCGTGATATTGAAAACATTTGTACAGATTCCAAAGGCACACACGATAATGGAGGCGTAACCATGGACACCAGAAAACCATTGTTGGAAGGCAAGCAGGAAGGAGGATGGCGCAGGGTTGTTCATGTCAGGCCCCATCCCCGGGGCTGCGCTAGTCACGTTCGGCGTATCCATGGCTATCGGTTATCTTCAGACACCCAGCTCAGTAAGCAAGACCGCCTGAAAGTAGAGGACAAACTGCTTTATGTGTGGAAATATTTTTAAACATTTGCATTGGAAGTAATCATTCTATCAATTGTGGCACGCAATCATATCGATTCAATTTCTTTATTCACTCAAAAAGCAACAATCTTTTGGAAGCTTTGTAAATACTGAAGAAAAACACAGAAGTGTCATCAGGACTTTGTTGTAAAATCAGTTAAAATAAATCCAATTGTATCTGTGCATGCCCTACTGATAAACTCGTCGGCTCCCAACTTAAAGTCGTATTATGGAAATGGATTTGCAAGTCATTGATTGCACGAATAGAGCTAATCTTGGGATGGCGATAGTGTAAATAGTTCGACCTTCGTTTGACATTATGGTAAAATGAAACCTTTTCAATTGTATAATGTAAACCGCTGCCGATGACTGGCTGATGAGGCCCCACAGCGTCCGTATCTAAGCGATTTACACACTGACAAACCGTCCTCCCAGTCACCGTGCTGGTTTGCTTCCTTATGCATGCTTACTAGACGGATTTAGCAGAAACATTTTTTCGTTGTTCTTTTTTATTTATCTAACGATTTTTCTTGAGCTCAGTTTGAACCTGAATAAACCTATGATGGAAGGGTGATAGTTGTCTGAACCCTTATCACCCATTCGGCCACTTAGTGCACTATCGTCAAAGTGTTATCCCCGAACAAATTTCCGCCGATCATAACATGCTAGTCCCATTACCTACAATGATCAACTATCGTATTGACGCATGCGTATTCAGAAGGAACAGAAACACCAGGTCAAACACGAGTTCCAACCCGGAACACTATCTACTAAGATGATAAGTGATCGCCGGTGATTGTCCTCATTAACTCTCATTATATCAAACCATCTATATAGAATGTTCTAATGGACCTGGCGATAACAGAGCCCCTACCTCCCCACCGCCACACGTAGTCTACGGCATGTATCTACAGTGTGAAATGTATATCTGGAAACGATGCATTTAAAACGATAACTTAATGCTGTTTTAGGAGAAATGGTCTTCCTACTAGTGCTGTTTTAGGAGAAATGGTCTTCCTACTAGTGCTGTTTCAATGAGAAATGGTCTTCCTACTAATGCTGTTTTAGGAGAAATGGTCTTCCTACTAGTGCTGTTTTAGGAGAAATGGTCTTCCTACTAGTGCTGTTTCAATGAGAAATGGTCTTCCTACTAGTGCTGTTTTAGGAGAAATGGTCTTCCTACTAGTGCTGTTTTAAGGAGAAATGACCTTCCTACTAGTGCTGTTTCAATGAGAAATGGTCTTCCTACTAGTGCTGTTTTAATGAGAAATGGTCTTCCTACTAGTGCTGTTTTAATGAGAAATGGCCTTCCTACTAGTGCTGTTTTAAGGAGAAATGGTCTTCCTACTAGTGCTGTTTCAATGAGAAATGGTCTTCCTACTAGTGCTGTTTTAATGAGAAATGGTCTTCCTACTAGTGCTGTTTTAATGAGAAATGGCCTTCCTACTAGTGCTGTTTTAAGGAGAAATGGTCTTCCTACTAGTGCTGTTTCAATGAGAAATGGTCTTCCTACTAGTGCTGTTTTAATGAGAAATGGTCTTCCTACTAGTGCTGTTTTAATGAGAAATGGCCTTTCTACTAGTGCTGTTTTAAGGAGAAATGGTCTTCCTACTAGTGCTGTTTCAATGAGAAATGGTCTTCCTACTAGTGCTGTTTTAATGAGAAATGACCTTCCTACTAGTGCTGTTTTAATGAGAAATGGCCTTTCTACTAGTGCTGTTATAAGGAGAAACGGTCTTCCTACTAGTGCTGTTTCAATGAGAAATGGTCTTCCTACTAGTGCTGTTTTAATGAGAAATGACCTTCCTACTAGTGCTGTTTTAATGAGAAATGGCCTTCCTACTAGTGCTGTTTCAATGAGAAATGCCCTTCCTGCTAGTGCTGTTTTAAGGAGAATGACCTTCCTGCTAGTGCTGTTTTAAGGAGAAATTACCTTCCCGCTAGTGCTGTTTTAAGGAGTTTCAATGAGAAATGCCCTTCCTGCTAGTGCTGTTATAAGGAGAATGACCTTCCTGCTAGTGCTGGTTTAAGGAGAAATGACCTTCCTGCTAGTGCTGTTTCAATGAGAAATGACCTTCCTACTAGTAGAAATGACCTTCCTGCTAGTGCTGTTTAAATGAGAAATGACCTTCCTACTAGTGCTGTTTCAATGAGAGTGCTGTTTTAAGGAGAAATGACCTCCCTGCTAGTGCTGTTTCAATGAGAAATGGTCTTCATACTAGTGCTGTTTTAATGAGAAAAGGAGAAATGACCTTCCTGCTAGTGCTGTTTCAATAAGAAAAGACCTTCCTACTAGTGCTGTTTTAATGAGTAATGACCTTCCTACTAGTGCTGTTTTGAGGTGAATGACCTTCCAACTATTGCTGTTTTAAGGAGAATGACCTTCCTGATAGTGCTGTTTTAAGGAGAATGACCTTCCTACTAGTGGTGTTTTAAGGAGAAATGGTCTTCCTACTGGTGCTGTTTTAAGGAGAAATGGTATTCCTACTAGTGCTGTTTCAATGAGACATGACCTTCCTACTAGTGCTGTTTCAATGAGAGTGCTGTTTTAAGGAGAAATGACCTCCCTGCTAGTGCTGTTTCAATGAGAAATGGTCCTCCTACTAGTGCTGTTTTAATGAGTAATGACCTTCCTACTAGTGCTGTTTCAATGAGACATGACCTTCCTACTAGTGCTGTTTTGAGGTGAATGACCTTCCAACTATTGCTGTTTTAAGGAGAATGACCTTCCTACTAGGGATGTTTTAAGGAGAAATGGGCTTCCTACTAGTGCTGTTTTAATGTGAAATGGCCTTCCTACTAGTGCTGTTTCAATGAGAAATGACCTTCCTACTAGTGGTGTTTTAAGGAGAAATGGTCTTCCGACTAGTGCTGTTTCAATGAGAAATGACCTTCCTACTAGTGCTGTTTTAATGAGTAATGACCTTCCTACTAGTGCTGTTTTGAGGTGAATGACCTTCCAACTATTGCTGTTTTAAGGAGAATGACCTTCCTACTAGTGTTGTTTTAAGGAGAAATGGTCTTCCTACTGGTGCTGTTTTAAGGAGAAATGGTCTGCCTACTAGTGCTGTTTCAATGAGAAATGCCCTTCCTGCTAGTGCTGTTTTCAGGAGAAATGGCCTTCCTGCTAGTGCTGTTTTCAGGAGAAATGACCTTCCTGCTAGTGCTGTTTTCAGGAGTATGACCTTCCTACTAGTGCTGTTTCAATGAGAAATGGCCTTCCTACTAGTGCTGTTTTAATGAGAAATGCCCTTCCTTCTAGTGCTATTTTAATGAGAAATGGACTTCCTACTAGTGCTGTTTCAATGAGACATGACCTTCCTACTAGTGCTGTTTCAATGAGAGTGCTGTTTTAAGGAGAAATGACCTTCCTACTAGTAGAAATGACCTTCCTGCTAGTGCTGTTTCAATGAGAAATGCCCTTCCTGCTAGTGCTGTTTCAATAAGAAAAGACCTTCCTACTAGTGCTGTTTTAATGAGAAATGGCCTTTCTACTAGTGCTGTTTTAAGGAGAAATTGTCTTCCTACTAGCGCTGTTTCAATGAAAAATGGTCTTCCTACTAGTGCTGTTTTAATGAGAAATGACCTTCCTTCTAGTGCTATTTTAATGAGAAATGGCCTTCCTACTAGTGCTGTTTCAATGAGAAATGACCTTCCTGCTAGTGCTGTTTTAAGGAGAATGACCTTCCTACTAGTGCTGTTTTAATGAGAAATGACCTTCCTTCTAGTGCTGTTTAAATGAGAAATGGTCTTCCTACTAGTGCTGTTTCAATGAGAAATGACCTTCCTACTAGTGCTGTTTTAATGAGAAATGGCCTTTCTACTAGTGCTGTTTTAAGGAGAAATGGTCTTCCTACTAGTGCTGTTTCAATGAGAAATGGTCTTCCTCCTAGTGCTGTTTTAATGAGTAATGACCTTCCTACTAGTGCTGTTTTAATGAGAAATGGCCTTTCTACTAGTGCTGTTTTAAGGAGAAATGGTCTTCCTACTAGTGCTGTTTCAATGAGAAATGACCTTCATACTAGTGCTGTTTTAATGAGAAATGACCTTCCAACTAGTGATGTTTTAAGGAGAAATGACCTTCCTACTAGTGCTGTTTTAATGAGAAATGACCTTCCTACTAGTGCTGTTTTAAGGAGAAATGACCTTCCTGCTAGTGCTGTTTCAATGAGAAATTGTATTCTTACTAGTGCTGTTTCAATGAGAAATGACCTTCCTGCTAGTGCTGTTTTAAGGAGAATGACCTTCCTACTAGTGCTGTTTTAAGGAGAAATGACCTTCCTACTAGTGCTGTTTCAATGAGAAATGACCTTCATACTAGTGCTGTTTTAATGAGAAATGACCTTCCAACTAGTGATGTTTTAAGGAGAAATGACCTTCCTACTAGTGCTGTTTTAAGGAGAAATGACCTTCCTGCTAGTGCTGTTTCAATGAGAAATGACCTTCCTGCCAGTGCTGTTTTAAGGAGAAATGACCTTCCTACTAGTGCTGTTTCAATGAGAAATGACCTTCCTGCTAGTGCTGTTTTAAGGAGAAATGGTCTTCCTACTAGTGCTGTTTCAATGAGAAATGGTCTTCCTACTAGTGCTGTTTTAAGGAGAAACTACCGTTCTTTTAACAGCCAAGGTTAAGGATGTACACCCCAGAGAAGTCAAACATTTCCTGTTTTAAACTTTTTTTCTTATATGGATATTTGGAAAAAGGCGTTAATGGCATTGTAGAAAATGCAAAAAAGAATGGATGTCCGTGTGTTCGTTTTTGTGCTATGATCGGTCAAAGGTACCAATTTAACACAACAAGTGATTTTAAGTGATTTTGACCATTTGCAGAACAAATTCATACAATTTCTTACGAGTGGGTTATCAGTTATGTATGAATGTTTGTAGAATTTATGAAAATTATATTTTATTTTAAATTAAGGAAGTAAAATTTCTTAATCTTATTTTTTTTACTTCAGA